CAAAAAATCAGCCGGGCGTGGTAGCGCATGCCTGTAATTCCGGCTACTTGGAAGGCTGAGATGGAAGGATCGCCGGAGCCCAGCAGGTCGAGGCTGCGGTGGCCGGGAGCGGCCACTGCACTCCAGTCTGGGCGACAGAGTGAGACTCCAACTCAAAAAAAAATAAAGATACCAAGGAAGAACTCTCTAGGGAAGGTAGTCTCCTGTCAGCATCTTTGTGAAAAGTAGCTGAAAAGACATGAATTTCTTGTACTGTTCTGAAGTCCATGTCTAAAAGTGATGATTTCAGGAGCATCATGGATGACCCAATCTGGTAGAAAAAAAATTTGAATAGGATTCTACATAAAAGTGTGCTGGCAGCTAAAACATTTCATTGAAGGTAGTTTTCTCTCTCTCTCTCTCTCTTTTTTTTTTTGAGTTGGAGTCTCAGTCTGTTGCCCAGACTGGAGTGCAGTGGCCGCTCCCACCCACCGCAGCCTCGAACTGCTGGGCTCTGGCGATCCTTCCACCTCAGCCTTCCGAGTAGCTGGAACTACAGGCGCGTGCTACCACACCCGGATAATTTTTTGATTTATTGTAGAGATGAGGTCTCACCAAGTTGCCCAGGCGGGTCTCAAACCTGCAGGCTCAGGCAATCCACTCACCTCAGCCTCCCAAAGCACGGGATTACAGGCCAAGCCACCAAGCCCGGCTCGGTATTTTTCTCTTAATGAGTAACTGCAAAGGAAAAAAACAGAAGGTAGTCCCTATGGAATGAGACCTTGTGAATATTGGACACTGCTTCAAGTTCACAGAAACATTTAACTGATTGCCAGTTAAGTGGTCAGAAATTGGATTTAATTAACATGGACAACTACATATATTGGTTTACACCCAGAGGACCTGTATACAGAATCTGACTGAAGGTACACTTATTTTGATAAATCTCTTCTTATCACTGCTTTGTCAAAGCAGATTGCTAAGAAACAAATTGTACAAACAACTGTCCTTGAAGATTGATAGCAATAGGATTTCAATCAGTACAGATAGGAGATTCTATTCCTGTGGATGAAAAAAATCATACATTGATTTTCTGCATGACTTTAAATAAATTCCTGGATAGCTTGTACAGCAGATCTAAAAAAACAAAAAATAACAAAGAGAGTTTGGATTTTATTTCTGCTTCAATGTAGAGATCCAGCATTTTGAAACTGAACATTTTGGAAGAAATGCTATGCCCCATGGAACGGTCATTCCAGATATAAAACAACAGAAAAGGTTTCTCTAATAGAAGACCTGGGAGATTACTTTCTCAGACTGGACAATGAGAAAACTCTCTTTACGTACCCATTACTTACACTTCTTTTTTTTTTTTCCATAGATACAGATATAGATGTTTGTGGATAAGTATTTCTCTTCTCTGATGAAATATGATCTGTGGACAGTGGAAATCTGTCATCTTATTTTGGTGTTTATTATAACCAGAAGGCTACCAAGAGTTCTAATCAGTCTATCAAATATCAGAAGTGTCCTCAATTGGAATTGTATTCTCAGTAAATCTGAAAGCATTTGGGACCTTCATGTGGGCTAATACTGTTTATATTTCTTTGGACATCAATCAAATATAACCAAAAGAAAGTAGACTAGTCATAGAAACACTTAAATGAAATAAAAATCAGGACAATAAACATGATTAGAAATAAATGGTATACTACATAAGAATCAATCCAAGAACAATCAAGATCTCTTATGCAGCCAGGCTCGGTGGCTCAGCCTGTAATCCTGCGCTTTGGGAGGCTGAGGTGAGTGGATTGCCTGAGCCCGC